GTTTTTTATAGTGATTTTCTTCCTGGTTCTTAGAGGACCAGATTGAGAGCAGGGTATGTGTTACAGGAACCAATAAGGTTAAAGTACCCTATTAGCATGGGGGTAGGAAGCAGAGTTGAAGCACTTCATTAACATAGTGGGCAGGAAATGGTTGGGGGCTTTCGTAAGAGGTGCTGGGGTCTTTCGTAAGCAAGGGCTACATGCTGGGGTTTGGTATGGGCTCTGGTCAGGCGCCTCCTTGCTTGACTAGTTCTTATAATTCCCTCTGGCTCAATCATTCACCTGCCTGGCCAGCCATGTTTCTGCCTAACACCCTTGAGTTGATTCAACTCATAGCGACCCCCATCCTTGGGTTTCCGAGATGGTATCTCTATGGAATTAGATCTTCATTCCAAGGAATGGCTGGTGGGTTTGAATCGCCAGCCTTCTGGTTAGAAGTCAAATGCCTTAGGTACTACGCCACCAGCGCTCTCCTTTATTTAAGTATGTTTAGAAGAGACTGCACACCCAGCCAACTTTTCACATGGTTTCATTTTCTTACTCAAAATAGATTTTGTTTGGAAGAACCTGTGCACACCATGTGACAGTGTTGGAGTACATATATTTTTAAATAATTATATTTCTCATATATATATATATGTGTGTGTGTGTGTGTGTATATAATATTTTACATTTTACACATTATTTTTTGTTTTTGTTATCCTATTGTGATGGATGGCAAGTGATGAAGTATTATTATTTTTCTTGTTAGACAGTTTAATCAATGTAAGCTGTAGGTATGTAGTTTATATTAGCAGTAATACTGTTTTCATTTCCAACAAAAATATTAAAGAGTTGATAAAACAGGAATTCACAGGAGATATCTTAGAATAAAATATATAAATGTGTGTGTGTGTATACATATATATTCTTTTTTTTTTATCCCCTTAATACTGCATATGTTGCAATAACTCTTTGTTTAAAACTTATTATCTCTATAAAAAATATGCTTCAGGTGGACTGGGAGATACAAGGACCCAATTCACGGAATGTATTACCACCACAGAACAGTGACATTGCAGATCCAGTGAGCGGGTCCTTCTATTTTGAAGAGGGAGAAGGGGGATTGAGGACCATAATTCTTGCAATTAATCCTTACGACAAAATTGAAGTTGAAGAAACTTTCATTATTGAACTTAAGCTTGTTAAAGGAGAAGCTAAATTAGACTCCAGAGCTAGAGATATTACATTAACAGTAAGTCTGTTTTATTTTTTCCAAAACACAAAATTTTTGATTTAATGGATTTATCAGAAAACACATTTATATTTGTTGAAACCCTGAGGGCTTAATATTGACAATGATAAAAGCAAATTAAGTCATAGTTATTCTGATCTGTAGAACTTTGTGGATTATGATGTTAATTATATAGCATGAATATTAGCAATTTAGAAAAAGTTTTTAATATAATGGAAAGTTTATATTTTATAACCTTTGAAACACTTTGTGTTTTTGGCATATTTTGCACTTTTAGAGAGAAGGTATTTGGTGTAACATCCTAAACATGGGTTATTTTTATAATTAAAATATATAAAAATTACTGACTTGTATGTCAGATTGTTTGATGGAAGAAGGTACTTGTTCATTTAGCACAATGTTGGTGGTACATATCAGACCTGGAAGTCAGTATATCTATATGACCACCAGTCCATCCGGGGTGGAAATTGTTGGATGCTGAGGCTATTGAGAACAATGTCCAGACATTGCACATTTTATTTTTAGTTTGGGAAATGCTTTGTGGCGACCTTTTACATGTTTTTACTTTATGACCAGTGGGAAGAAATAATATAAAATTAACTGGCTAAATGAAGCAAATATGAGGTGAATAAAGCTAAAGTCACACACCATATTACTGTCTTCTGATTGTATACATTGTGATTTTCTGGAAGTTTATCCCATTTTCCCCGAGGAACGGAAGAAACCTGTTTATTGTAGTAAAGAAGGCTTTTGAAAATCTGGTCATTAAGTAGATGATATGCAAGTATCATTTTTCTGTTTCCTTCCTTTCCTCTGCTTACCTGTGCATTGATATATCGGATACTATAATTTTGTGTGGAGTGGTTATACATATTATTTACTCTGCTCTCTGTTTATATTCTTTAGATACAAAAGTTTGGTGATCCAAATGGAGTTGTTCAGTTTGCTCCCAAGTCTTTATCTGAGAAGACATACTCAGAGCCATTGGCTTCAGAAGGGCCCCTGCTCATTACTTTCTTTGTCAAAAGAGTAAAGGGCGTTTTAGGAGAGATTACGGTATCTTTTTTCTTTTTGATTTTCTTAAGTAGAGTAACAATTTGCCTAATAAATGTGGTTGAGAGGGACAGAGAAACTGTGGTGTCCTGGATAATTGAGGTTTCTAATAAAGTAAAGAAAAAAATTCAGGCCTCGTGTTATAATATTGAAGGATTCTGTGGACAAAATACTGGATGATGCAGGAAGCATTGAAAGAAGTAGGACGGAAAAATGTATCGACCCATGTCACGTTAGTTTTGTGTATTTGACTGTACGTAAATTATTTTTCAATATATTTTTTTTTTTTAAGAAGAAGTAGGAAGGGACTACGCAGAGTCAATGTACCAAAAAGAATTGGTCGATGATCAGCCATTTCAGCAGGTGGCATATGATCAACAATCAATGGTATTGAAGGAAGAAGTCTAAGCTACACTGAAGGAATTGGCAAAAAAAAAACAAGGCTCCAGGAATTGACAGAATATCCATTGAGATGTTTCAACAAACAGAAGCAGCACTAGAGTCATTCACTCATTTACACCAAGAAATTTGGAAAGCAGCTACATGGCCAACCAACTGGAAGAGATCTATATCTGTGCCCATTACAAAGAAAGGTGATCCAACAGAATGTGGAAACTATCAAACAGTATCATTAATAGCACACACAAGTAAAATTTTGCTAAAGATAATTCAAAAAACGGTTGTGGCAGTATATTGACAGGGAATTCAAGCTGGATTCAGAAGAGTACATGGAAGAAGGACTATTGCTGCTGATGTCAGGTGCATCTTGGACTGAAAGCAAAGAATACCAGAAAAATATTTGCCTGTGTTTTATAGACAGTGCAAAGGCATTTGACAGACTGGATCATAACAAATTATGGATAGCATTGAGAAGAATGGGTATTCCAGAACACTTAATTGTGCTCATGAGGAACTTTACATAGACCAAGAGGTAATTCAAACAGAACAAGGCGATAATATGTGCTTTAAAATCAGGAAAGATGTATGTAAGCATTGAATCCTTTCACCATATTTATTCAGTTTGTACATTAAACAGTTAAATCTAAGAAGCTGGACTATGTGATGAAGAATGTGGCATCAGAATTGAAGGAAGAGTCATTAACAACCTGTGATATGGAGATGACACAACCTTCCTTACTGAAAGTGAAAAAGACTTGATGCACTTACTGATGAAGATCAAAGACTACAGCTGGATTACACCTCAACATAAGGAAAACAAAAATACAGTTGGACTGATAAACAGCATAGTGATAGATGGAGAAAAGTTTAAAGTTGTCATAGATTTCATTTTACTTGGATCCACAATCAATGCCAATGGAAACAGCAGTCAGGAAATCAGACAACATATTGCACTGGGAAAATCTGCTGCAAAAGATCTTTTTAAAGTATTAAAGAACAAATATGTCACTTTGAAGACTAAGGTGTCCCTGAGTCAAGCCATATTGAAAAATATTCAGTAGCTTAGTACACATGTGAAAGTTGGGCAAATAATAAGAAAGATTGAAGAAGAACTGATGCATTCAGTTGGTGTTGGCGAAGAATATTGAAAATAGAATGGAATGCCAGAAGAATGAGTAAATCTGTCATGGAATAAATACACCTGAGATGCTTCTTAGAAGCAAGAATGGCCAGACTTTGTCTCGTGTACTTTGGTCATGTTGTCAGAGGGACCAGTCCCTGGAGAAAGATATCATACTTGGTAGAGTAGAGGGTCAGTGAAAAAGAGGAAGATCCTGTAATGAAGTGGATTGACACAGTGGCTGCAGCAACATGTTCAAGTATAGCAAAGATTGTGAGAATGGTGCACAGCCAGGCAATGAGTCATTCTGTTGTACATGGGATTGCTATGAGGTGGAACCGACTCTAAGGCACCTAACAACAATAAACACTTTTAGGATCTCCAGCCAGTCTCAAACTCCAGCAATTTCTCTGAACTTGATTACATGTAGGCCAGAAAGTTCATTCTCACATGATCATGAAGGCTTTGCCTTAACTATTTTGTATTTCCTTGTTTGGTATACCATGAAATATTTCTCACTAAAACTTCTCAATTATTTTTTGTGAATTACTTGCTGTATTCCCCAGGGCTCTATTTCTGAGTAGAACTTTTTCGATTCAGCAGCTGTTTTTATAAGATATTTGCATTTTTGTGTGTATTGATGTAAAACATTTAGAGATGCCTTTGTAAGTCAGCTGTATATTTGACTAACAGATGAAGGTCATTTGTTTACTCCCAAACATATTTTATTTATCACATTTGGTTTATTATCAAAACATATTTTGTGAAATTTCTCTGTACTTTTCCCTCTTCTTGTATTGGATATTAACTACTACTTATTTTGTTGAAACTTCATAGCTTGGAGGCCAAAAGTTGTTCAAAAATAATTCATAAGTCTTCACATCTTATAGATATTCCCTGATATGAATCATCAGATTTTTACTCACTTTTACCTTAAAATATTACCCATAAATTACTAATGAATGCATTGAAGTTAACTTGCTTTCTTTATTTCTTCAAATTGCATTGTTTTAGAAGCAAGTGAAATAGTGAGATTTTATAATCTTGTCCTGGAAATTGCACAGGACAGCCTGATAGAGTTCATGTAATTTCTAAACTTACTCATACTGGAACTTTGGCTTTGAATATAATGATACCCAATTAAAATATCTTTTTTTTTTTTTTAATATTATAGAGAAAGAATTTAAAGGATTTTAATTCAATATACTGAATTATTTAATTTTGTTACTTTTTTTTCTTTTTTTTTAGGTTTATTGGGAATTAAGTAGTGAGTTTGATATTTCAGGAGACTTTCTTTCCACAAAAGGATTTTTTGTCATTGCTGATGGAGAGAGTGAAGTGAGCTTTGACGTTCATTTGTTACCGGATGACGTACCTGAGATAGAGGAAAATTATGTGATTCAGCTTGTTTCTGTAGAGGGAGGGGCAGAATTAGATCCAGAAAGATATATTACACGATTCTCTGTTTCTGCGAATGATGACCCACATGGAATATTTGCCTTGTATTCTAATCACCAGTCAATAGTTATTGGGCAGAACCTTAGTAGATACATCCAAATTAATGTAACCCGGCTTGCTGGAACATTTGGAGATGTGGCTGTTGGATTTCGAATATCATCTGACCAGAAGCAACAGCCAATTGTTACTGAAACTGCAGAGTGGCAACTGGTGGTCAAAGATGGTGCCAGATATAAAGTGGACACAGTGCCAATAAAGGATCAGGTTTGTAGCATTTCTTAGTTTTCTGGTCATTTAAACAAACAAACAAAAATACATAAACATTTTTGTGAGAGTCTTTGCTTACCTCATGATCAGTTTAAAATCTTATTCAGAAACCATGAAAATACTTTAGAAAATGCCTCATAATTATTGGGTTATACATGTACTTATTCTGTGGGACCACCTTGCTTTGGAATGGGAACAAATACAGATATGTTCCAGTCATTTGGCCAGGTAGCTGTTTTCCAAATATCTTGGAATAGATGAGTGAGCATCTCCAACATGACATCCATTTGTTGAAACATCATATTGGGTATTCCGTCAAATCCTGGAGCCTTGTTTTTTGCCAGTTCCTTCAGTGCAGCTTTGACTTCTTCCTTCAGTACTGTTGATTCTTGATCATATGCCACCTCCTGAAATGGATCAGTATCAACCAATTCTTTTTGGTACAGTGACTCTGTGTATTCCTTCCATTTTCTTTAGATTTTTCCTACATCATTAAATATTTTGCCCATAGAATCTTTCAATATTGCAACTCAGAGCTTGATTTTTTTTTCAGTTCTTACAGCTTGAGAAATGCTGAGAGTGTTCTTCTCTTTTGGTTTTCTAACTCCAGGTCTTTGCACAGTTCATTATAATAATTGACTTTGTCTTCTTGAGCTGCTCTTTGAAGTCTTCTGTTCAGCTCTTTTATCTTGTCATTTCTTCTATTTGCTTTAGCTACTCTTCATTCAAGGGCAAATTTCAGAGTCTCTTCTGACATTGATTTTGGTCTTTTCTTCCTTTTCTTTGGTCTTTTCTCTTCTGACATCCATTTTGGTCTTTTTAATGATATTCTGCTTTCTTCATGGATGATATTCTTGGTATCATCTCACAATTCCTCTGGTTTTTGGTCAGTGTTGTTCAAATAATCAAATCTGTTTTTCAGAAGGAGGAATATAATTTAGGTCATATTACTCATATCATATGCAAGTAAAATCTCGCTGAAGATAACTCAAAAATGGTTGCAGCAGTATATTGACAGAGAACTTCCTGAAATGCAAGCTGGATTCAGAAGAGAATGTGGAATGAGGGATATCATTGCTGATGTCAGATGGATCTTGGCTGAAAGCAAAGAATACCAGAAAGATGTTTACTTGTGTTTTATTGACTATGCAAAGACATTTGATTATGTGGATCATAACAAATTATGGACAACATTGAGAATGGAAATTCCAGAACACTTAATTGTGTTCATGAGGAACTTGTACATAGACCAAGAGACTATTGTTTGAACAGAACAAGGGGATACTGCATGGTTTAAAATCAGGAAGGGAGTGCATCAGTGTTGTATCCTTTCACCATATTTACTCAATCTGTATGCTGAGCAAATAATCCAAGAAGCTGGACTATATGAAGAAGAATGTGGCATCAGGATTGGAATAAAACTCATTAACAACCTGTGATATGCAGGTGATAGAACCTTGATTGCTGAAAGTTAGGATGACTTGAAGTACTTACTGATGAAGATTAGACTACAGTTTGCAGGATGGATTACATCTCAATGTAAAGAAAACAAAAATTCTCACAACTGGACCAATAACCAGTATCATGATAGAGAAAAGGTTGAAGTGAGTGAAAAGATTTCATATTACTTGGTCCCACAATCAACACCAATGGAAGAAACAGTCAAGACATCAGATGACGTATTGCATTGGGCAAATCTGTTGCAAAAGGCCTCTTTCAAGTGCTGAAGAACAAAGATGTCTCCTTGAAGACTAAGGTGCGCCTAACCCGAGCCATGGTATTTTCAACTGCCTCATACGCATAAGACAGCTGGACAATGAATAAGGAAGACCAAAGAAGAGTCGATGCTTTTGAATTGTGGTGGTGACAAAGAATACTGAAAGTACCATGGACTGCCACAAGAACTAACAAATCTGTCCTGGAAGAACTGCAGCCAGAGTGCTCCTTAGAAGTGAGAGTGGCCAGACTTCATTTGACCTACTTTGGTCATGTTGTCAGAAAGGACCATTCATTCCCTAGAGAAGGATACCATGCATGGTAAAGTGGAGGGTCAACAAAAAAGAAGGCGGCCCTCAACAAGATGGATTGACACAGTGGCTGCAATGATAGGCTTAGGTATAGTAAAGATCATGAGGCTGGCACAGGACCTGGGCAGTGTTTCATTCTGTTGTACATTGGATCACTATGAGTTGGAGCTGACTCAACGGCACCTAACAACAACAACAACAGCAAATAACATGTACTCAAACATTTGTAGGTTATAAGTGAATAAATATATCCTATTTGGAGATAAAATAGTTTTATCTAGATGGTTGTGTTTTTGTTAGGTGTGATCTAGTCAGTCCTGACTTATAATGACCCTGTGTACACAGAAGGAAACACTGCCTTATCCAGTGCAGTCCTTAAAATCTTGGCTATGTTTGAGCCCATTGTTGTAGCCACTGGGTCAATACAACTCATTGAGTGTCCACCAGTTTTTTTGCTGACCCTCTGCTTTACCAAGCATGATGTCCCTCTCCAGGGACTGTTCCCTCCTGATAGTAAGTCCAAAGTACATGAGGTGAAGTCTTGCTGTCTTCGTTTCTAAGGAACATTCTGACTGTACTTCTTCCAAGACAGATTTGTTCATTCTTCTGGAAGTCTATGGTATAATTAATATTCTTTACCAACACTGTGGTTGTTAAGGTTGTTGTCAACTTGGCTGGGCCTGGTTGAGTGGCTGGGAAGCTGGTGGTAGTTATTCCCCATGATGAGACTAGCAATCAACTCCATGGTGGGATCTACCACAAGCAGCTGAGTAGCTGCCTTTGGTATGTGGTCTGCTTCCTATATATAAGGAGAAGACTTGGGGATAGTATCTAGCATATGGAATGCTTGAACCCTGCATGTAGCTGTGTCATTGTTCAGCAGCCTGCCATACTCTGCCGACCTTGGGACTTTCAATGGACTTGAGTTAATGGCCTGCCATGTGGTTTGGTAACATCGAGACTGTGACATTTTATTTGTCAACCTTGGACTTGTCAGTCTCAGCAGCCAGTGGCTGCCTGAGTGAAGAAACGCCTCTAGCTCCAGTGGGCCAGGAGCAAGAGGCAGAGGTAAAGCTCAAGGTCGAGGGGCTTTCACACAGACCCTAGAGCCTGACACTTTGAACTCTGACTTAAAGCCTCCAAACTATGAGAGAATAAACTCCTTTTTGTTAAGGTCATCCCATTTGTGGTGTATTCCTGTCAGAGTGGCACTAGGTAACCAGAACAAACACCATAATTTAAAGACATCAATTTTTCTTTGGGCTAAACTTACTCATCCAGCATATGAGGCAATTGAGAATTTCATGGCTTGGATGAGGCACACCTTAATTCTCAGAGTGACATCTTTCTTTTTAACATTTTAATGAGGTCATTTGCAGTAGATTCCCCTAGTGCAATGTGTAATTTGATTTTTTGATGACTGCTTCCATGGACATTGATTGTGAATCCAAGTAAAATGAAATCCTTGACTACTTCAGTCTTTTCTCTGTTTAGCATGATGTTGTTTATTGGTCCAGTTGTGAAGATTTTTGTTTTCTCTGTTTTGAGGTATAATCCATACTGAAGGCTGTAGTCTGATCTTCATCATTAAGTCTTTTATGTCCTTTTCATTTACAGCAAGCAAAGTTGAGTCATCTGCACATCACAGGTTGCTTAGGGGTCTTCTTTCAATCCTGATGCTGCATTCTTTTTCATATAGCCCAGCTTCTTGTGTTTTATCTTCAGTTTGTGCAGTGAATAACTATGGTGAAAGGAGTCAACACTGATGCACACGTTTTCTGATTTTAAAGCATGCACTATCCCCTTATTCCATTGGAAATATGGTCTCCTGATCCATGTACAAATTCCACACGGGCAGAACTAGGTGGTCAAAATTCCCATTCTTTACAGTGTTATCCATAATTTGTTATGATCCACAAAGTTGAATGCATTTGTGTAGTCAGTAAAACACAGATGTAAACATCTTTCTGGTATTCTCTGCTTTTAGCCAGGATCTATCTGACATCAGCAATGATATCCCTTGTTCCACATCTTCTCAGTCTGCCTTGAATTTCTGGTAAATACCTATTGATGCACTGCTACGATCATTTTTGAATTATCCTCAATTTTGCTTTCATGTGATATTAATGATTTTATTAAAAAACAATTTCTGCACATTCTACTGGGCTACCTTTCTTTGGAATAGGCATGTATATAGATCTCAGGTCAGTGACCAGGTAGCTGTCTTCCAAATTTCTTGGCTTATACAATTGAGCACTTCCAGCATTGCATCTGCATTTGAAGCATACCAGTAGGTATTATGTCAATTCCTGGAATCTTGTTTTTTACCTATGCCTTCAGTGAGACTTGGACTTCTTTTTTCAATACCATTGTTGCTGATCATATGCTACCTCTTGATATGGTTGAATGCTGATCATTTCTTTTTGGTTCA